TTAAGGCCTTAGTTTTATTTTGAAGAATTCAATGCCTTTTAAGACTTTTTAAGGACCCGCGGGAACCCTGAAATGACGGGCCAAGATCTTATAGCACAGATCCAACAAAATATCCACTTAAAAATCTAAACCTACCTAAATTATTATACTTATTATTATTTTTTATCTGTGGAGCTTTTTTTTTAAAGCATTTCTGTACAAATACATTAAATGCCTGGATTTCTAGTCTTTTATTATCCATTTCGTCTCATTCAGAGATGAACATTATTTCTTTTTTACCGTTCAAATTTTACAGATATAATAATATATAAACAGGCATTATATACTGTGGTAGTAAAGTGCTCTGGAATATAAATCCAACTAAATGTTCCTTTGTCTAAATGTCTGCAGTATGAAGGACATGCAGATGAGTAAATCTGTAATGTTTTACAGCATTCCTCTAAAAACAAAAAGAACTCCATGAGACAAACAGCTGAGCAAAGTCTCCCCATCATACCTCACGGTCCAGTTCACAGACATCTGGACCTGAGACCAAGCACTCCCAAAGCTCCTTAGCTCTGTTCCAGACCAGGTAGATGCTGGCCTCCTGTAGGAAGAACGCCAGGAACCGCAGGTGGCAGTCCAGATACTGAAAAAGATCAGCAGATAGAGCGTTTCATTCCAAACTAGATCTCAATCAAAACAGGTCCAGAAACGCTGGTGAACAAAATGCACACTAACTTCCTGGTAGGTGTATCTGCCGTCCACCAGAGTTGAAGCAGAGAGGCCGTTGTTCCCCGAAGCCGTCACAGCGAGTCGGTGGCAGCACACCAGAGATCCTGTGATCAGTTTGACGATCTCAAAGTTCTTCTTCAGGTCCTGGATGATGCTCTGAAGCGAGGCAGAGAGTGGTCACAATGGCGGCGTAGTGCGTGGGACGGCTCACCTGGGCTAAGCGTACGGTACCTTGTCTTGTTTCTGATAGGTCTGTTTGATGAAGGAACGGGTGATTTCATGCAGCTGTCGTAGAGCGGGAACAACCCAGACCGCCTGAGGGCTGCTATGCTGAGAGGCCTGTGAAAACACATCCAAACAAACCCCTAAAAACTCACACTATGAACCGCGTTCAGAGGTTTAAATCTGTTCTCGTGTCAGGGCTTCAAGTTAGACTCACTGCCTTGGAAGTTTGTGAATATATTAGAAGAGAAATCAGAGATACAAAACACCAAGATAGAAATCAGCAATTTCTCAAACGTAAAGGCAAGATGTTTCTGTTGGGTATCCGTGGTTCTGATTGGTTTACTCTTTTATGAGCATACAGCACCCCCTACAGTCACTGGAACCCCTGGTAAAGATGTGTCAATGGATCTTTTATTGCAGCAACATCTCACCCCTTTAATTTTAACGCATTCATTGGAGAGAAATTACCAACCATCAGGGAAATCAATGCTTTAACTAAATAACCTGGAAAATTTCAAAGGTTTTTACTTTCAGTTTTGTCAGGGGCTATTTTCTCTAATCCACTATATTCAAAATAAGAAAAGCAAGAAAAGGTGTCATTTAACTGAGCATTTGTGAGCTGATTTGACAGTTGCCTTTTGCATCTATGCTTCTTTTTCTATGTCTGCTTCTGTCTCCTTGAACCCCAGTGGGCCTCAGCAGATGGCCGCTCACACTGAGCCTGGTTCTGCTGGAG